GGTGCCGAAGCTTGGGGTCTGAAATCCAGGAGGGGCCGAGGCTGGGGGTCTGAGATCCAGGCAGGGCCGAGGCTGGGAGTCTGAGGTCCAGGCAGGGCTGAGGCTGGCAGTCTGAGATCCAGGCAGGGCCGAGGCTGGGAGGTTGAGATCCAGGAGGTGCCGAAGCTTGGGGTCTGAAATCCAGGAGGGGCCGAGGCTGGGGGTCTGAGATCCAGGCAGGGCCGAGGCTGGGAGTCTGAGGTCCAGGCAGGGTCAAGGCCAGGAGTCTGAGGCCCAGGCAGGGTTGAAGCTGGGAGGCTGAGGTCCAGGCAGTGCTGAGGCTGGGTGTCTGAGGTCTAGGCAGGGACGAGGCTGAGAGTCTGAGGTCCAGGTAAGGCCGAGGCCTAGAACCTGAGATCCACGCAGGGCTGAGGTTGGGGGTCTGAGATCTAGGTGGGGCCGAGGCTGGGAGGTTGAGATCCAGGCAGGACTGGAGGCTGGGAGTCTGAGATCCAGGAGGGGTGGAGGCTGGGAGGCTGAGATCCAGGCAGGGCTGAGGCTGGTTCCTCCTGAGGCCTCCCTCCTTGGCACGTAGACGCCGTGTTCTCCCCGTGTCCTCACATGGCCGTCTCTCTGTGCGTGTCCGTGTCCTGATCTCTTCTTCGAAGGACACCGGTGTTATGCTCCCAGGACCCACCCTAAGAACCTCATCTTGACCCATTTACCTCCCCAAAGACCCCATATGTAACTAGAGTCCCATCGGGAGGCCCTGAAGGTTAGGGATTCAACACACAAATGGGGGGACGGGGTGGGGGCACGCCCATCCGTGGCCCCCTCCTGGTTGCTTGGAAGCCAGTGTGGGGACCCTGCTGCTGGGGTCAGATGAGAGAATCAGAGAGCGAACCCGGAGGTTCTGGAAGGGGCGTGTGTAAACACCAGGAGCTCAGGGGGACGCCCAGAAGGAGTGTCCTCACGGAGCAGGTGTGTGCAGGGGAGAATGTGACCTTCTCCTACGTCCGTGTGTCAGAGAGAGACCCCACCACCGAGCTCAGCGGGGCCCGTATTCGTCCTAAAGGATCCAGAGCTCATTCTCGCTGCATCGGGGCCCCCGATAAATCGCCCAGCAGCCACACGTCACAGCAGGTGGCCCCTGGCAGAAAACCCCACAGCGTCCCATCTGGAGGCCCTTTCTCAACGTGGCTCATCTGTGACCATCTGCCTTTTGGAACAGAACATTCCGGAACACCCCACACCCAAGGGGCTTTTCAGGGCTGCTGTCAACAGTGCGTCTTCCTTCTCAAGGGACACATCCAGGAGCCCCGGGGCGAGCCAGGGGCCAAGCAGGGGACTTCGGGGGGCCGGTTGCCCTAATCACCTTCTCACCAACCTCCCCTGCCCTCTTGGTTTCGTGTGTGCGTTGAGTTTAAGCAAAGCGTGAAAACTGCTCCCAGATGGCATCGGCAGCTGGCGCCCCTGAGTCACAGAGGGTCCCCTCCCACGCTGGGCCTCGCCCCTCACTTCCCCAGGGACTGAGTCACCCCGTCCTGCTGATTCATCATATACATTTAACCCCCCATTTCCCCAACACCGGGAGCAAGAAACACTTCCTGTAAGGGACTCCCGTGGATTCCTCGTGGAACAAGACTTTAAAAGTAATTTCCGGGGCGCCTAGGTGGCTCAGTCGGTTCAGCGTCCAACTTCGGCTCAGGTCATGATCTCACTGTTCGTCGGTTCAAGCCCCGTGTCGGGCTCCGTGCTGACCGCT